GGCGTAATGTAAACAAAAACAAAAGATCAGTCGTGTAACTAAGACAAAAGAATTTTTTAAAAAATTTCAAGAAACTGCTTATAACTTAAAATTTTGTCTATGAAACTGTCTTAAATACATTAAGTAAAAGTTTTCCAAATTAAATTTTGCATATAAAAATTTTATTTGTGAAACACATATTAAATTTATTATTAAAAAAAAATAAAAAAAGGATGTTACAAATAAGATATGTAACAGGCTGTTACAAATACATTTTTTCTTATTAGAATATATTTGGACTACATAATAATCACAAATATTTTATGAATGATACTTCCAACTCCAGGTCAGTCTGATCAAACATTAGATATTATATTACCAATAAAATTAAAATTAAGAATAAAAGTAACCAAAAAGTATAGCAAAATAATATACAGTTAAACCTCGATATACTGAACTTCCGGTTCAGGGATAAAAGTTCGGTATATGGAAGGTGTTCGGTAAATCAAATTTTTTTTATATACAGAACTCTATAGGTAAACAATAAAAAGTTCGGTATATCGAAAATCATGTGATTTTTCATATAATATTCACGGTATAAAGATTGTTGAACTTTATTATGTAAAAAAAAAATACATTGATATAAAATGTCCAAAAAATTATATTACTAATAAAATGTAAATGTTTCATATTATATTACTAATAAAATGTAAATGTTTCATATTATATTACTAATAAAATGTAAAATGTTCATATTATATTACTAATAAATGTTCAAAAAAAAATTATATTATCAATTAATTATAATATTAAGTCACGCACGATCCATCATATATTTAACCAACTGTCTAATACCGATTGAACTCTACTATTTTTATTGAAACGAATAATTTGTTTTTTAAGATTATATAATATATTTCTGTTATTGAACTCCATAATAAAAGTATAAGGTGGATTATCAAGAAAAGATAATACTTTGTCCAATGATGCTAATGCTTCTGAAGTGGATATTTTGGGTTGTAGAATTAATTCTTCTTCTTCAAGATCTGTTTCATTTGGTTTTACCATATTTACAATTTCTTCATCTGTAATTTCTTCTCCCCCATAATTATTATCATCATCAATTAAGATAAATTCCCTGGCACTCATTAATCCACCAGAAATAAAATTACTATATTGATCCAATAATTTTTGGATCTCTTCTATTTCATTCAGGCCATCATCATTTTGTTCTTCATCGGAAGGTGAAGGTAAAGGTGAAGGTGAAGGTGAAGGTGAAGGTGAAGGTGAAGGTGAAGGCGAAATCGGCAAAATTCCAGTTTTTGACTAACAATTACGAATAGTTTCACTTGTTACAGCTTCCCAAGCTTTTGCACAAAGTGAAATAGAGTCACTTATCTTCAATTTAGGAACTGGTATATTTAACTCCATTTCATTATCATAAGCCTCAATTCTATCTTTTATGAGTCTTTTACGATATTGTGCCTAAGATTAATAAATTATTAGAATATGTGCTATTAATTTTATAATATAATTTATAATAAATAATATACAAACCTTGAATGAATTAATAATGCCAGCGTCAGCAGGTTGCAGATGCGCTGTAGTATTGGGAGGCAAATAATGGATTGTAATATTTGTCAATAACTCCAGATTACTAACAGAATGAACTGGTGCATTATCTACCAAGAGAAGGATCTTTCTATTTCGCCTTTTCATTCTTTGATTTAAAAGTTCTAAATATTTATTCCAAATAGACGTTTGCATCCAGGCACTTTTATTCCAATAATAATCCACAGGGAGCTTTGATTTATCAATTCCTTTTAAATCTCTTGGCGTTTGATGCTTATGAATGAAAAGTGCTGGAAGTTTAATAGAACCAGTTGCATTAAATGTTAATAAAAGTGTAACTCTGTTTTTAGATTTTTTTGTTCCGGAAAGAGGACCAGTAGATAACGTTTTAGAAGGTTCTAACTCCCAATACAATCCTAATTAAATAAAATATTTTTATAATTTAAAATTATATTTATCATAATTATTCTTTAAAATTTAAGTTATATAAAAATTTTACCAGTTTCATCACAGTTAAACACGTCTTCAAGATCAAAGTTACTAATTAATTCCTGTAACTTTTCTCTTTCTTTGGATAATTCTTCTTCACTTGGTCCACTTTGAGCCTCACCATGTTTATTATATTGCTTAATATTGTGCCTTTTTTTAAAATTATTCAACCATCCTGCTGACCAAATAAAACCTTCAATATTCATTAATTTCGCAAAATCAGCAGCTTTGGTTGTAATAATTTCTCCCGTTATAGTTTTATTAGCAGATATAGCATTTGAGATCAAAATTGCCAAAGCTTCTTCTAGTTCAGGAAATTTTGGTGATTTTTCTTTTTATTTAGCTGTGTTAAAACTATTAAGTTCCATATTTAACCATTTGTCTTTATTTTTTAAAATGTCACAAACTGTATTTTTTTTTACACAGAATTTTTTCCCTATTTCTTCCTGTGATAATGATGGATTTTCTTGATGAAGCAAACATAATTCTTTCTTTTCTCCAAAGGTTAGAACTTTTCTTTTTTTTAACGTTGCTTCATTATTTACATTTTTTCTTTTTTGCTTCATAGCGCGGTAAAAAAAAAATCCGAACAATTGATCAAATTGTTTAATTATAATCTACTGACGTGCCGATTTTGCGATTTTGTAACACCGATTTTACTAATCACGTGATCAGTTCGGTAAATCGAAATTTTTTTTATTATGTTTTATTATAAACGGTTACTCAATAAAATTCGGTATACATTATATAAAATTTTATATGATGTTCGGTATATCAAAATTTTTTTAAATATTATGAACCTGGTTCTTGAAAAAATGTTCGGTAAGTCAAGAGTTCGTTATATCATGGGTTCGTTATATCAAGGTCAGACTGTATATGATTTACCATCGGCCTGAACTCATGATGACATCCTGAATAAACTATCTACCTGGGGCAAGGTACTTGAAATTTCTTTCAAGCCTCAACATAAGTATCAATCAGTATAGNAATAAATTATATGTCTAAAATTATAAATAAAAATAAATATAATTGAGAAAAGAATAAAAATATTATTTTTGTATCCTATTAATCCAATAATTTTTTGCTCATGTATAACATAATCTTATCAACTTTCTTTTTATTGGAATCCAATCCTCACATATGTATTTCCTTACAAAGGTGTCCATAGATTTCTTTACCAAAGAGACTGATTTTTGTAATTGATCTACTTTTCCTATTTGTAAATCTTTAACTTTACTGTATAGCACTGCCCAAAGTATTTCCCTTTGAGCATATCCCTACTTTAAAAGACCCGGGTACTTTATTAGATATAAAAATTTTGGCCTATGTTAATATTCGGGTACTATTCAATTTTAATCACGTGTAATTTATATAAGACCTGAGTACATATAAAAATTTATCATATTTAGTATTTATTTTATTATATTGAAATTTAATCTTTGCATGGTAAAAAATTTATTTCTAATTATTCTAAATTCAAAAATCTATTTATAAAATCTGCGCAAAATTATTATACTAGTTTATTCCCAATCTTAAATTATATTTTGATCTTCATTTCTTTCATAATATTCTAATTCACTATCTTCCGATTCACAATCACTATTATTTAAGGATGGTGCTGCAAATATGTAATTGCGGAATAATTGTGATTTACGGTATTGTGAAACATTGCGAATTTTTAAATCTAAAATCTGCAGATCCGCAAATCTGCAATTATCCGTAATTTCGCAAATATTCCACAAATCTGCAAATATTCAAAGTACCGCAATTCAATTGCAAAATATTTGCAGGATTGCGAAATAGTTGCAGATTTGCAGAATGTCCGCAAAAAAAACTAATTTTTTTTTAATAAAATATAATTTTTTAATTTAACTACTAAAAAATATATTTCCTCTTATTATTAATCATAAAAAAAACAATTATTTTTCATTAACAAAATTTAAAAAAAATGATTTTATTTTTTAGAAAAAAATGGATCAGTAATTTGGAAAAACTGCCAGAAACGGCATTTTCTCTTATTATAACTGCAAAAAAAAATGCTGGAACTAATAGTTCCGGCAATTTTAATAAAAAAAATAAAAAAAATGCCAGAAATAATAGTTCTGGCATTTTTATAAAAATTAAAAAAAAAATGCCAAAATCAATAGTTCCAGCATTTTTATATAAAAAAAAATAAAAATTGAAATGCCAGAACCAATAGTTCTGGCATTTTTAATAAAAAAAAGTCAAAAAAAATGCCAGAACCTATAGTTCCAGCATTTTTATATAAAAAATTTATAAAAATGTCGAGATTCATAGTTCTGGCATTTTTATATAAAAAAAAATTTTTAAAAATGCCAGAACCTATTGTCCCAGCATTTTTATATAAAAAATAATTTAAAAAAATGCCAGAACCTATAGTTCTAGCATTTTTACATAAAAAAAATCAAAAAAAAATGCCAGAACCATAGTTCTGGTGTTTTTATGTAAAAAAAAATCAAAAGAAAATGCCGGAACTATAGTTCTGGCGTTTTTATGTAAAAAAAATTAAAGAAAACACCGGAAATGGTTCCGGCGTTTTTATGTAAAAAAAATCAAAAGAAAACGCCAGAACTATAGTACCAGCGTTTTTATGTGAAAAAAATTAAAAGAAAACGCCAGAACCATATTACCAGCGTTTTTATGTGAAAAAAATTAAAAGAAAACGCTGGAACCATAGTTCTGGCGTTTTTATGTAAAAAAAATCAAAAGAAAACGCTGGAACTATAGTACCGGCGTTTTTATGTGAAAAAAATCAAAAGAAAATGCTGGAACCATAGTACCGGCGTTTTTATATGAAAAAAATCAAAAGAAAATGCCGGAACCATAGTTCTGGCGTTTTTATGTGAAAAAAATCAAAAGAAAATGCCGGAACCCATAGTTCCGGCATTTTTATGTAAAAAAAAATTAAAAGAAAACACCGGAACCCATAGTTCTGGCATTTTTATAAATGTACGAAACTGACAGTTATGGGCAGCAATTAGAATTGCGGAATTGTGGGCTACTAACCGCAATTCAACTCCAAAATCTGCAATATTGCGGAATTTGAAAATCATTTGCGGACCCATCCTTACTATCATTTTCTTTATCACTATTATCATCATCTTAGAAGAATAACAATAAACATAAGTAAAGTATTGAGTATGAAGTAATATTATATATAAAATAGTTTTTAAGATCATATCATATAAGTTATTTTTCATATAGGTTATATATTATATATAAGTTAAATTACATTCAACTTAATGATTTTTTTGGTATTTGGCAAATAATATAAATTTTATCACAAACTAATTACTAAATTTACAATTTAACATATTTAATATGTGCAAATCATTTCCAGAGGATGATAATCTTAATATTACATATATTTTATTAATCATTTTTTAGTTTATTTATTTATTTATTTTTAGAAAACCGTGATTCCCATTTAGTGGGGATTTGTCTCGTTGTCACGTGATGTCTTTGTTTTCTGGTTAATTAAAAATTTGGCTAGATTCGATAAGATACCTACTTATATGGATAGGTGCTGTATACACTGGAAAATTTTATGTCCGTTATCTGGCCAAAGGTAATTGTTTACTAAAAACATGTACATCAAATGCTATTGTTTCTTACTAAATATGAAAAACATTAGCAGGCCTAGAGGATATTTATTTAAGAGCGTAAAATTTGAAGATTTTGATATACATGCATTTTTCCCCCCATATCTTATAATCCGTTATGATTGTAAAGCAACAAGATTATGTAAATGAAGGAGATATTCTCCTAAGATCTAAAGATAAAACATTTCGTGTTCATAAATTAATTCTTTCGCTATCTTCCAAATTATTTAAAGATTTAATTGAATCATCTGAAACATCAAAACCTTCAACTAACGAAAATGTGAAAATCATTAAACATTACTTAATTTCCCCATCGCTTGAAATATATGTAGATGGAGAAACTCCTGAATTGATCGAAGGAATGTTATCATTTCTCTATCCAGTAGAACATTTTATGATAACCTGGGATAATATTTCGGATTTCTTACGAATTTCGGACAAATTTGAAATAGAAAAAATTAAACAATGTTGTAAAGACATGTTATCAAAAGAATTTCAATCTAACACTCTTTTAGCGATTAAATTAGCGGAAAAATATTCATTTCCAGATATTTATAAAGAATCATCTAAATTAATTTTAGATGATTATCAAAAATATTCTTCTGATCCACAATTTAAACTTCTATCTAAAGAGACACGATTAAAATTATATGAATGTTGGTTCGATTATCATAGTAAATTACAAGAATTTATTTGTAAGTTTCATAAAATAGGAGTTCATCACAACGGTAGAACTATTAGTTTAAGGGAATATATTAGTAAGAAATTTCCAGCGACAACACTTTTAAAACCTTCATTATTGATGGATATGTGTAAACAACAATTATCATTTGAAAATTATTATAATTATCTAAATATTAAAGAAAATTATCCTGAACGAATTTTAACTTATGAACCATTATTTCAGAATGACGATAAAATGTACATTTTTATTGAATTAGATAATTAATAGTTATGTATAAATAGTTTATATATTTTTTGTATGTCATTTCTTTGTTTTTATATTTTTAAATTAATAAAAGATTAAGTGATTTATATTTATCCTCTTAATTTTTACAGCGTAAAATGTCTTCTTGAAACTGACAATCCGTACAAACTTGCTTTTATAATTTTAATTAGTAACATATATTTCTTTATTAATAAATATAATAACCGAAAAAAATAAAACTTGTTTATGCTTGATGACCATACGAACTATGCATATTATCAATTTCTTATTTGAAAAAAAATTGTTATTGGTGCGTTAAAATTTGTGATATGTTGATTGAATTACCAAGGTTCAATCCCGTGATCCGGAGTTAATCTGAAAGGATGATCCGGATAAGAAAATCCATAGATCATTATTTATACGTGGAGGTATTCTTCTATTCTTCTAAAAGTTAAGGATACAAGGAATAATTCTTTCATTATTTTCCGAGTTTTTTAAAATTATCGAAACCCTTAACTAATATGGAATTTTAGTATTAATAATTATGAACCATTAAACATAAGATCTTCCATACATTGTATTAAATGATATATAGCTATTTATATTTATTTTTGCTGTAGAAAAATAAGGTCGTATTCAATAACAAATTTTTTTTTTAGAATTATATCAATTAGATTCACGTGACTATATATCACGTGATATTATACGCTTATAATTAAATTTGTAATTTTGAAAAAAAAAAGATTTGATAATATTGCAATACTTTGTATTACCTTATTGTCCTGAGGTTTTCTTCTTAACATTAATTTTAATAAATATGATCATAAACTTGTGCTTGCAAAAAAAATTAAATTTTATTTTTTGTAGATGTTTAATTGCTTATGTAATAGTTACACAATATAAGGTCATTTTAGTATAATAATTAGTCATGAATTATAATATTTTATGTATAACTTGTAATTACAAATCTTGAACTATGAAAATTTTTTTTAAAATTGTACAAAAAAAACATTTAATAATTATATGAATAAATAAGATATACAATTATTGTTTTTAAATATATAATTATTTTTATATAATTATTTTTAAATATATAATTATTTTAAAATAAAACCATATTTTTTTTTAAATTAAATTGATAATAATATTTTTTCAATATATATATATATATATTAAAAATTGGTTAAATAGTTTGTTTTTAATATTTCAAAAATTAAAATTTAAGTAAACAATCAAATTAAATCATTATAATAAACTACAATGATTCAAATATTAAAAAATGTAATATATATTGTTTTAAACATTGTGATATAGTAAAATTCAAGCATTTCTAAATCTTTTAGTTAAAGTGTTGTCTGAGTGTGAAAAACGCTGTTACACGAATCATGTGATATCACTATTAGTGTAATAAAAACGTAATTACAGATCGATTTTGTGTAACCAGACGCGTCATTACTTGATTTCCTAAACCGGCTCAACGTTACACAAGTAAACACATATAAAATTACCCAGCCCCTCAATAAAACAAAAACTTTTCCAATTTTTTTTTAACAGAAGGATTGGCAACTTTTTTTATATAAAAATGAATGAAAGAAGTAATAAATCCAAAAAAGATTATAGATTAGAACCATATCCAAAACATATTATTATTAATAAAATTCAAACTCAAACTCATTTTGGGATTTATAATAATAATTCTATTGCATCATCATCATCTAATATAGCCAATAATAATGATGGAAATGATAAGGTTACAGCTGCTTTAATAGACTATACCAAAAATGAACAACGTAACACAAGCTTATTAGATCAAAATAATAATACGAACCAGTTTAAAAAATGTTCTAAAGATTATTTTACACCACGCCAAATTTATCTTTGGGTAAAAGTTTTGGAACTTATTGTTCACTTATCTAAAGACTTAAATGAAAAATTAAATAATGATTTTATATCAAATAAATGGATTAATCACCGGAATAAAATAAGGTTTAGAGTGTTTCTAACCTTTAAAAAATTAATTTAAATAGTTCAATTTTTTTTATCTCTTTAAGATTTTTATTTATTTTTTCATTCTATTCCTTTCTTTTATCATTTCCTTTTTCCTTTTTATTTTAATAATGTAATAATATTTTTAGGAAAGGTTTAATAACAAATATTAATGAAGATGAAAAATTATTAATACAATCATACATTTCAGAAATTCACAGTGCTTCTTTTAAAGAAATTAGCTTTTCTTGGGAATTAATTCAAGCTATTGTAAGAACTATTTTAATTAAATAAATATCTGTTTTAAATATATTATTAACCTTAAATTGATTCTTAATAATAGAGTGCAATTATATTTAGACACCCTAATCAAGTTTATCCTCTTTGGGAAGAAATTAAGGTAAATTAAAATTGTAATGTATATTTTATTTTGATTGGTTTTATCCTTTTAACCTTTTCTTTCTCCCTATTAATTTATAAATAGAGTAAAATTGTAATGAACTTGGATCCAGAGGATGAAAAAAAAAATTGTGTTGAAGTAATAATTAACAAACCTATCCTTAATTCAACAATGATAGTAAAGAATAAATTGGACGAATTAAAGTCATTCAGAGCAGTTGATGAAAGATTTGCTGAATTATGGGATCCAAGCATTCAACCACCAAAACTAAAATGTCCTTATGATATTATGAATATTATGGATGATGATATGATCCCACAACTTGAGGTTAATATGTTTTTGATTTAAAAAAAAATTTTTTTTTGTCTAATTTATTCTTTATATTTAAGTTTATCAAAGAAAATATAGTTCACCCGAATGTGAAACCACCAAACCTCTTGGAAAATTTCGCATGTGCTTGTGCTGACAATTGCCAGGTACATAATTACAGGTTGAATTTTCGATTTAAATTTCAAGATACCTTCAAATTTTAATTATAAAAAAAATTTTTACAATTTTTTTTAAAAAAATTAAATTCTTTAGAAAACGTCGGTGTGTCAATGCATGTTAATTGATGATGACTCACAAGGTATTACAAAAATCTAATCTCCATGTTGTACAGAATTTTTTTCAACTTTTAGCTAAATTACTTCTTTAGATGAAGGATTTCCATTTGATAACGATAGGCTGTCGCGGTCAGATATAGGAGCAATTTACGAATGTAATTCTCGATGTAACTGTGATATGACTTGTCCAAATCGTGTTATACAAAGGAGTAAAAAGTTACCGAAGAAATTTCAGGTAAGATTAATAATTACCATTATATCTTTATGTAATTTTATTTAGCGTTGCTTTAATTTTTGTGTGCCAGATCTTTAAAACTAAAGAAAAAGGATGGGGAGTTCGATCATTACAATTTATTAAGGAAGGTGAATTCGTTATGGAACATGTTGGAGAAGTTATTGATGCAAGAATAGCATCATTAAGAGCTGTTTGTTACGATAAATTGGATACAATGAGTTATTTTGATTTGGATTATGATTTCGATAAAAAAGAAAGGAGAAAAGTACTTTCGTAAGGGTCATCTTTTAACTATTTGATATCTATACTCTGAATAACATAATTTTTTTTTTTTTTTGATCGTTTTAGTTTGGATTCTAATTATTGGTGTGGAATAAGCCGATTCCTTAATCATTCATGTAATGCTAATTTGATAACTATCCCCGTAAGTTATTTAAAATTAAATTATTACCTTAATGTATTTTACTTATTAATTTTACACTTTATAGTTTTTTGTAGAGAATAAGGATAAGAGATGGCAAAGAATAGCTTTCTTTGCACAAAGAGACATTAAAGCATTTTCTGAACTTACGTTAGATTATAAAATAGAAAGTGATGAGTTTGATTGTTATTGTGGATCACAGTATTGTAGGTAAGTACAAGGAAGGAAAGGTTATTTTAAAAATTTTTTTTTTTTTTTGGATAATTTATGTGATGAATGATATCAACTTGATTAAATTTTATAGATACACGAAAAATAATTAAAGATACAGGATAATTTCATGGAAATCTTTTTTAAGAATCATTAGATTAATAAAAATAATAATTATTATTATTATATATTTTGATCTGATTTTTTTTTTTTTTTCATTACCCTATCCTTATTAAACGAACAAAAAAAAGGTATTTATATAGAAACATTGACATTGTCTAGAATAGACATTATTTAGTCTTTAATTTAAGGATATGAAATCTAATCTATATGAAATCTTATAGTTCCTTTTTTTTTTAAAAAAAAAAAAACAAAAAATTAAAAATAAGAAAAAATAAAATGTGTTTAATGGATTTGAAATTTATTTTGATCCAAGATTATTTTCTTTTTAACAAGTGTTCCGTTTATTTCTAATTATATAATGCTGAAATTTATTTCTACATACTGTAACACTTCTAACTATAATATATTCATTTAGCTACGCCAAATAGCCAAATTAAACGGACCTTATATTGGAAGAAAAATTAAAAGAGAAACAAATTGCATCCGCATGTATTACCAGAAAACAATAGGCAATCATTAAGCCTTTTTATCCAAAAACCCCACGAATTCTCCTCGCCAATTGAATATCTTTTTGCATTATTGTAACTCTTTTCGCGTGAATTGCACATAAATTACTACATGGGTGAAAAAAAAGAAAAATTATCTAAAGATTTAGATTGAAAAACAACAATTTTTTTTACTAAATGTAAATACACATACGCGTCTTCAAATAAATGGACCAGATAAGCTTCAGTAGCTTTTGATTAATAGGAAATAATGAAAGATCAAATCAAAATAAGAAATAAATATGCAATTATAGTTTATGTATACCTTCTTGAAGAGCCAATATCGCAGCGGATTGCCATCTAAACCCGATATCAGTTCTCGGTCCTAAAATTTCTAAAGCTATTTCCCGTACCTGTATAAACAATATTGGTAAATCTCATTCAAATTCCCAATTATAAATAAGTCAAATTTAATAATTACCACACGAGAAAAGGGCAATTTACGGATCAATAGGTTAGTAGTCTTTTGATAACGTTTAATCTCACGTAAAGCAATTGTTCCTGGTCTATATCTTCTCGGTTTAATAGGCCTTATCGGATCACCAGCTACATATTCGGAAGAACTCAATATGTTAGAGTTTAAATAAATTTAATTTCATAAAAACATAAGAGGGTCTTACGTCTTGTTCGATTGGCAAGTACTTTCTTTGAAGTGGCTAATTTGCGTTTGACTATTCTTTTAAGATTCATTACTTACAACAGCAGCGGATCCTGATCCTGATCCTGAAGAAGTAGAAGGTCTTTGTGAGTTCATGTCTTCATGTTATATAAGCTTAGCTTAATCTTTTTTATGTATATAGGAAAAAAATTTCAAGAAAATACAACATACTTGGAATGAATACCCGAATCGAAGTTTACACCGTTACTTCTGTTGAAAGTTAAAACTCAAAAGTAATTCTTGGTAAAGAGAGGGTGAATTTAAGAAATTTAGAAGGTATGTGTTACATTTTTTTTTAGTGATGTGATTGTTATTGATTAATTAATATTTCTACTGGAGATTTGAGGAACAATTCTTAATTAAAATTACTATTGTGGAGAAACATAGTCCTCATTAAATTCAAATTTATATTTAAAAATTTCTATAGACAAAAGTGTTTATGTAAAAATGCATAATATCCCTATATAATTATTTTATTTACTTCACAATTCAGTAATTCAGAAAAGGTACAAATATCATGTATGTTTGATATCCATACGTTAGTAATTAAAAAGAGTAATATGAACTTTAAGACACGAAATTTTATGAATTTGAAAAAAATGTGATTTGACTTTTTTGGAAATCAGAATAATCAGATAATCTCGCAGTATTTCCGCAGTTTTCGTTTACTGACAATAATATATAAAAAGATTATCAACAAATTACCATTTAATTTTCGTTTGAATTTCTAACGACAAACAAGTTGTTATGAAAATATTTCTAATAAAAAAAAAAGTATCATCTGTTGTTGAAAGTACTAAAAAATTAAAGATTAGGTATTAAAAGTAGATGTCCATGAGATCATCCTCTGAATTGTAGTGCTCTTTCGCAAGCTTTATGGACAATAAAAAAAAGACTGTTCATTTTTATATATTCGGTTAGGCTTAGCTTCAAATATAAAACAAGAAGCCATTAAATAACAGAAGCTGGAAAGAATCTGAGTTAGGGCTCGACCCTTTAAACGTCTGCTGCTCCAATATTTTTCATTTAATTTAGCCAGTTCTTTACATTGATAAATAAAATTCATTTATAAGATAATCGCTTTGAACTTCTATGCATACTTATTTCCTTGTTCCTGTAATTACAACGTTAAGCATTTTTTTTTTCTTCTTTACATGTTAAATTCTCAAATAGACTTGTTATATGTCAATCTCATTAAAAATATTCAAGAGCGACGGCTTCTTGATTATAATCAACAGAGAATTATCAAAATCCATACTATTCGCAGAGCTGTCAGAATCTGTATATTGTTTTATCTTGTTTGGTCGAGATTTTCTAGTAAATATTCCAGAGATTCGATCTTGAAGTTGTTATCTGAAGTTAGGAGCATTTTAGATATATATTTTTAGGTATTTCTCGATCTTGCCAATATATGCAATATCATCTGTACGCTAAAGAGAGTTTTTAGAAAGGTAAATTTTAAAGCCATCAGGTGAAGCATCCAACTTACTGCAACTACTTCATCTCTTGGCGCAAGTTGGAAAATCTGTCTCTCTTTCTCATGCTAATGTTTTCATTACTTGCTTTATCAATAGCAAAAGTTGATACTTTCATCAATACACACTTTACTTTACATTCTTTTTCTTATTCTTCAACTCTCTCGAAAGATGATGTTTTTAAGAAGGCTCTAGCCAACGAATAAAGGAATACTGTTATACTAAAATTAAGTATAGATTTGATAAACTTACAATAGATATAATTATGGTAAAAAAAAACATTATTACTATGTTAAATTTTGAATTGTAGAATTAACCCACATTTTTGTGGAAAAATATTATCAAAAGATTTATCAATGATGATGAGTATAAACATTTCATGAATAAATGTTTGGAAAACCTTTCACAGATAAAAGAATAAGAGACATATATACTGATCCAACCACACAATAGCTTCAACTAGATGACAATGGCATTAAGCGACATATATCTTTAAATGCAGAAATGAACATATATTGGCCAGGATAATAGACCAGAAAAATAAAAAAGGGTGTTTATAGCAGTATCTAAAAGGTGTTGTTACTTATGTGAGCTGTATATCTATTTTTCATGAAAACAAGGATATAATGTCATCATTTCTGAAATGCACAAGAAAATATATAAGATCTTATAATAGAAATGATTTAAGGATTTAAATTTACAGAATTAAGGTTTAAAATTTATTTATTAGCAAATCATTCAGTTATATCTAAAAAAATGTATTAGACCTTATAGTCTAATAATTACTTTATAATATTATCAATATTATTTATTAAGTTTTATATTTTACTTTATTACATATGAGAAGATCTTGTTTACTTCTAATAGAGGTCTCTGGGAAAAATTTCAAATTTACTAGTAATTTTACCAGCGATCCTATTAGTTATTAATTGATTTAAAAAGAAAAAAAATTATAACAACTTAGTATAATATTTCCCTTTTAAGTGTAATTTACTATCTATATATAGTAGAATCTTTAAAAATTCTCAATTATAAATTTTACTTTAGGTTTCTGGTAACTTATTTTATAAGTAAGCAGAGTTTTTATATTAGTAGATTTTATTCATTTATAATATCATATGCTAATGCTAAGCTATCCTAATTAAAAATTATTTAAACAATCCTTTACTATAGAAAAGTAAAAAAAGTATTAAAAAGTCAATTTTAGTTTCTTTTAATATTTATTTTTAAAAATATCTTTATAAATAAAAAACTACAGAAGAAAAAAGAAGTTAGAATAAGATTTTATTAAAAAAAATAATAATAAAAATAGAAAAACAAGCTTAAAAATAAAAAAAACTTTTTGTTATAACTATTTATACAACTTATAAAATGATCTACTATAAGTTAAATGAATTGTTGACTATATTAAATGAGTTAAAATGGATTTTTATATTAAGTTTTTTTTGTTTTAATATAAAAGTAAATCAAAAAATTTTTTTATTAATTTGTAAATTCACCTGATATAAAATCCTATATATACTAATAAATTTAATATTAAATAAAAAATATTTTACTATATAAAACCATTTATAATTACGATAAACTAAACTTAGTTACTTATATGTAAAGTTTTAAGTGGTCTGGATTGGTCCAGGTTGAAGAGTAATCTAAGACCAGATCAAAAAAATTACTTTATTTCAGTCTGATCTGGATTATATTAAAAGATAATCTAGAATTAGATTAGACCAAACCAGTTATTTAATTCAGTTTAGTCCAATTCTATAATAAAAAATATTGCAAAAATATTTTTTAATTAAATTACTTTAAAAAAATATTTTGCAATATTTTTTCATTAAATTAATTATAGAAAGAATTAATTTAAAATTCACCCTAGGTTATTTTTTAATTTTAATCACTTCAGGTAAAATTCATTCCATTTGATTTGTGTTACATTTCACAATTTTTTATTTATTTATTTATCACGTTATGATTATAAAAAAAAAAAAATTTCTTTTTTAAAAAAAATTCTAAAAGCTTTGTTATTAACACATATTAAACACTTTAACTCAGTTTTGTTACTTATATCTTGTGAAGCTATAGGTATTTTATACAATTTGTAGTATATTTATTTCTAATTTTTTTTTGTGTTATATTTTCTAACTTCAGAGCGTAATTTCGTCATTTTAGTTAAATGAAATCAACTTTCTTTATTAAGTGAAAGTTGTTTAGCGATATCAAAACTACTTATATCTTAAATATAATAAGCATAAGTATAATATTTGTGAAAATATTCATATTTTTTATAATAATAATAATTTTTGAATTTTTTGTTTTTTGGTTTGTTAATTTCAGAGCATAATTTTACTACTTTAGTCAAATAAAATCGACTTTCTTAATTAAGTGAAAGTTGTTTACTGATATCAAAACTACTTATATCTTAAATTTTATGAGCATAAGTATAATACTTGTAGAGATATTCGTGTTTACATAATGGCAATAATTTTTGAATTTTTTATTTTTTGTTTATTAAATTCAGAGCATAATTTCACTACTTTGCTCAAATGAAATTGACTTTCTTTATTAAGTAAATTGTTCAGCAAGATGGAAATACTTAAATTTTAATTTTCATGAGTGTAAATATTATGTTTGCAAAGATATCCATATTTTTCATAATGGTACTAATTTTTGAATTTTTCTTGCTAAAAATATAATTTCACCATTTTGGTCAACATTTTAGCTATCAAATTTTATAATGCTTTAATAAAGTAAAGAGGAAAATTTTTAATTTATTGGTAATTTTAGTTAATATAATTTATTAAAAAAATCAGTTTTACTTTACATGTATAAATTTTAAAAATCATATGATCAGGTAATTTTTACCTGGGGTGAGCATTAAAATTACTTTTATAGAAATATTGTAAAAACATTTTTTTTTTAAAAAAAAACATTTTGCAACATTTTTTTATTTAATAATTAAACAATTACAATGGTTTCAATACAAAGCTATTGTAAAAACTATTATTCAGTTCAGTCTAGTCTCAATCTGTTTAATTCAGTTTAAATTAGATTTATAATTCAGGACCAGATTAAATTAGACTAAATATTTTAGTTCAAGTTAAAGCATCAACCTAAACTAGACCAATCCTAATCTTTGGTCTGAATTACCAAATTAAAACCAGACCAATTAGAGTTTTACTCATAAGATATACTTAGAATTATACTATTATTTTCATATTTTTTATTGATCATTTTAATTTTAAAAGTTTATAATATAATAATATTAAAATAAATAAAATTTTATCAGTTATTTTTATTTAACAAATTTTAAAATTTATTTTTTTAATAATAAATTATTTAAAAAAGTCCTATTTTCTGTTTTTACTTATTTTTATTAAAAAAACAATTTTATATATTTTTTTTAACTTTAAAATAAAACCTATAATAATTTATAATATAATAATAGATATTGTTAAATCTTACTGCAAGTGATTTTTATTGCAACAGCATTAGCAAATATTAATGTAATATTTTAAATTTTATCTAAAATTTTACTCTAATTTTAATAAAATAATAATTACCAGCAATAATATTTAGCAATACATTATAATAATTAGCAGTTAGTAGAAATATCACACTTATCATAATTACTAATAAATTATGATTTTTAATTTTTTATATAAAATAATTTTTCTTTAATTATGTATTATAAAATTTAATATATTTTGTTCTTTGATTTTTATTTTATTTTATTTTATTTTTTTAAATGTTGAATCATATACCATTTTATTAAAATATATTTGGACTACATAATAATCACAACTATTCTATAAATAATACTTCTAGCTTCTGGCTAGTCTGATTAAATATTAAATATTATATCACAAATAAATTAAGAATAAAATTAAACA